ATAAAATGCTTCTATCACGCACACAGGGGTTCAAAAGATGTGATCATATTCATACAGTATTTGAAATAAACAAAATCCTGTACTAATTTCCGCATTGTTACTCCGGTTATATTACCACAAAATTTTATGAGCATGCTTCATATGAGGTAAGAACAAGTTGAAAATGGAATACGCATATTCGTCCAATAATACTGAAACATCTTGTAAGGATAAATTCCTATAGTATTGTTTAAAAATGCTTTGCGATTTGTCACTTACTCTTGTATTTCTGTTTACTCTCTCTGACAAGAAACCAGCAATAATCGCTCATCATTTCAGGATTCTTACACCCTCGCTACCTCTTCTCCATTGTAACAATATTTTAATGAATCTGTTCACCATGATCGGATGTAAAGGACGAACGTAAATGTCGGATGTAAAGGACGGAAGCCCAGGCACGAATCTCTTATGAAGACTTTTTTCTCTCTTTTTTCCGTTCTTTCTTTTTTATTATTATTGTTTTTAAATTTTTGTCTTCTTACACTACCATTTATAAAATTAATTAGCATTCCATTATATCGTATTTAGTACGAGAATTGAATTTTAATACATGTCTTGCATTTAATTTTTAGAAATACCTGAATTGTACATTGTGTGATTATATACATATCCTGAGTTGACATTCATGGCGTATGATGTATTTCTATGACAAGTTTATTATTATTATTATTATTATTATTATTATTATTATTATTTTATTATTACTATGATTATTATTTCTTCAAGCCTCTCGCTTAGCGAGGTGCCTACAGCAGACACCGGAACTTTTGTAGAACCAAGGTGCCTGCTTCGCTTGCAAACTCGGGCGGTCAGTTATATCACTAGAAACGTCCTAACGATGCGTGCAGTACTCAGGAGAACAGCATTGTTTGAATGTGCCAGTTCTTAAGGCCAAGACTAGCAGACGATGAAATTAGTTCTTCGGAGATCAGTCCATTTGCAGAGATGACCACAAGGACTACTTCAACAGATACTAAGCGCCACATGTCGCTCAGTTCAATAGAAAAAGCCTGACATTTCCGCTTCTTCTCGGCAACAGAGGCAACTATATTTCGATCTAAAGGGATAGCTATGTCGACTATAATTCCTTTCCGTCAATCCATATTATGTCACGTCTGTTGGCTTCAACCCTGCGATCAGTGGTGACTACTACATTCCTAAAGAGCTTCCACCATTTCGACTCCAAAACTGAATCCGGCTTGAACTTGTAGTATGGAACCTCTATCTGTATCATCTCCGACTTTGCAGCCAGGGCCTGATGGACAAGCGCAGCAACGTCGTTGTGTCGACTCAGGTATTCTGTTTGCGCCAAAGCAGAACACCCGCCCATGATGTGTTGGAGGGTTTCGCCGGGTTGATTGCAATGGCGGCAGCGGTCCTCTACACTCATACCCCCAATTACATATCTTTGGTAATTGCGAGTGGAGGTTACTTCGTCCTGAATAGAAATGACGAAGCCTTCTGTCTCAGCAAAGAGGCCAGATTTTGTTAGCCAGGAGACTGACGATCCCATATTCACAGCGTTTCCTTTGAGTTCAGCAGGATACCTGCCGTGCAAACGTTAGACTTTAAACTTTTCAATTAAGCTCCTGCAGTGCAGTTGTTGTCCAGTGAAGAACACAAAATGAATACACAGCGACAGGTACTGCCAAGTGTTGATAGCTGATATAAGGTTATTTCCATTTAAAAGAGTTTTACAGATTTTTGACACTCTTTGAACAACTTTATTTTTAATATCACACCTCATCTGCAGGCCTAAATATTTATAGGTATCCTCTTGCCCAAGTTCTTGGATATTTGTGCCACACATCAGGATCAGTTTGTCAGGATCAAGGATTTTCCCTCTTTTCACGTGTACTGCAGCGCATTTATCAATGCCAAACTCCATACAAAAAGAGTCGCTAAAGGACTTAACAAGTTCAAGCAACGAGGAAAGCTGGTTCTTATTTCTGGCGTACAACTTGAGATCGTCCATATAGCACTGATGATTAATGAGGATATGGGGATTTTTGGTGATTTCATATCCCATCCCTGAATCTCTTAACATTCTGCTGAAAGGGTTTAGAGCTAGAGAGAACCATAAGGGACTAAGACTATCTCCCTGAAAAATTCCTCGTTTGATCCTCAGTTCCTTCGTGGTATAGCTGCCTCCAGCGAATGAGACTTTTATCTTTGTACGCCAAGTTGCCATGCAGTGTTGGATTAAGTTCCCATACTGGTAATTTACGTTGTAGAGGCGAAGGACATACATTATTATTATTATTATTATTATTATTATTATTATTATTATTATTATTATTATTATGTGATTCTGTCTCTTGATAAAATCTCAGGACCGTAACGGCTTTTGCCGTGTCGAGGCTCTTTTCGTGTCGAGTTAGGATTACATTATTAGACATGAGTAATGCTATTATTGAGGAACTTTCTGACTATTACGCATTTATTGAGAACGACAACTTTCTGTAATTCCTTGTACAATGTCTTCTCCATTTTTAACTTTTGAAGACTGTTGTGCAAAGTTACTGGGATGACACCAGTTGCGGACAGAATGATGGGTATCGTATAAACTTTCTCCGTTTTCCAGTGTTCTTTTATTTCTATTGCTAAATCAGTGTTCTAGGAAACATTTTCTATGTGGGAGGCCTAAAGGTAGTGTGTGTCTGGGATTGCGATATCTCTTAAGTAAGTGATTATGTTGATTAACGTAATGTCTGGCCTGTTGTGTGCTATCGTCTTGTCTGTAATTATGGTTCTGCCCCAATATAGCTTGCAACTAGGATTTTCCATCACAGTTGTTGGTGTGTACTTGTAATATGGCTGCTTGTTTTCCAGAAGCCTACTTTTTATTGCAATCCTTTGGTGAAGAATTTTGGCTACCTGGTCATGTCTGTGTTAGTAATCAGTTTGGGCTATGGTTTTGCAGCCGGATGTGATATACTGAATTGCTGGACTGATGACACCTACATAACTCATTTTCCAGAGTTGAATCTTTAAGGATGGATTTACGATAATTTCTTGTGTTGACATGATCTTGGATTGCTATCATTCGGCAAACAGGTCGCCAAACGATTTCGGCAAACAGGTTGCCACGGGAAAGCTAGGCGTTCGACGTTTCGAAGTCGACATGGGGCTGTTCCAGATCATGGCGATGTCTCCCATGGAGTATTTTTTGTTTCCAGGACTGGTATTTGTCAGATGGTTGAGTTACAAAACTATATGAATCATTATCAGAGTGGTGCAAGTTTAGTAGCTATTAGACCGCGATCTCCTTCCTTACGTGGTAGAGTAAGTCTTTTTGTTGAGGACTTAGGGTGGTGCACTCTGTGCTTATTTAAAACTGTTGTTATTACATTAAACCCCTTCTCAATCAGGTTTTTAATCAGTTTGAGCAAATGCTGAGATGGCTCTCTGTTTCACTCCTGAACAGTTATGTAACTTCGCTCTCTCCACCCAGGACGTCATATTGACTCGTCATACACGATTGTAAAAGTATATGTGACTTAATAATAATAATAATAATAATAATAATAATAATAATTATTATTATTATT